TCTTCGACTGACAGACTATTTCACCTGAGAACTCCCCTGACATCCTCTTGCTTCGACTTTTCTTTTTCTTTTCCCTCCCCGCTCCCCCCAATAACTTTCCCACCGCATTTGCTGTGCACCGTACCCCGCCATGGCTGCCCCGCAAGAACTTGTCCCCCAGACCGAAACCATCGCGGAGGTTTACGCAACCGACGACGCCTCAACCACTTCGGTCGCTCCGGAGCACCAGACTCGTTTCAATGCCTTGGTGTCCAAATTCACCAAGCTATACTCTCAGCGCCCCGATTTTGTCGCTCGCAGTCCCGGTCGCGTCAACATTATTGGTGAGCATATTGACTACAACCTGTACGATGTCCTTCCGACTGCCGTCAGTGTCGATGTGATCATCGCCGTGAAGGTGGTCCCTGCTACTGGCTCAGAGTCTGTGGTCAAGATCTCCAACGTGAACCCGGAGAAATTCCCCACGCGCGAGTTCACCGTGCCCCGCGACACGGACGTTGAGATCGACCCCAAAAAGCATGACTGGGTCAATTACTTCAAGGCCGGCCTGTTGGGCGCCCTGAAGTTCCTGCGCCAACGGAACGCCGACGGCTCATTCGCGCCGGCTAGCATGGAGGTTTTGCTCGATGGAAACGTGCCCCCTGGTGGTGGCATTTCCAGCAGTGCTGCCTTTGTGTGCGCCAGTGCTCTAGCCGTGATGAAGGCCAACAACCACGACGTATCCAAGCAGGACTTGCTCGATCTGGCCGTTGTTTCTGAGCGCGCAGTCGGTGTTTACTCTGGAGGGTAAGTGCTGTCCTTTTGGGTTTACCCGCTCCCATTCTGACGTTTTACAGCATGGACCAGGCGGCCTCCATCTTTTCCCGTCGCGGATACTTGCTTTACACTCAGTTCTACCCCAACTTCTCGGTCCAGCACGTGCCCATCCCCAAGGCGACTGAAGAAATCACCTTCCTCATGGCGCAGAGCTTCGTCACCTCCAACAAGGCGGAGACCGCTCCACGCCACTACAACCTCCGTGTTGCTGAATGCACTCTCGCCTCGGTGGTGCTGGCTGCCCACCACGGCCTGACCCTGCCCAAGGACAACAGCTCGCTCGGGTACAGTCTCCGCAATTTCCACAACGAGCTGATGCGCAAGGAAGGTCGCTTGGGCGATCCCTTGGAGTACCAGATTGACTCCGTGATCCAGAGCGTTCGGGAGATCTTGACTCAGGAGACCGGATACACGCGGGAGGAGATTGCCGGTCTGCTGGGAATCACGGTGCCGGAGTTGGAGTCCAAGTATCTGTCCTCGTTCCCCGTCCAGGCCGAGCGCTTCCTCCTGCGGCAGCGCGCCCTGCACTGTTTCACCGAGGCTCGTCGGGTGCTGGACTTCAAGGCCTGTCTTGCCAAGGCCCACACCTTGGACGAGCGTCGCATCCAGTACCTGGGCCAGCTGCTGAACGAGTCCCAGGCCTCCTGCCGTGACCAGTATGAGTGCAGCGCTCCGGAGGTGGACGACATCTGCGCTATTGCGCGTCGTGCAGGCACCCTGGGTAGTCGGCTGACGGGTGCTGGCTGGGGTGGTTGCACGGTGCACATGCTGCCTCAGTCCAAGGTCGAGGCCGTCACCAAGGCTCTGAAGGAGGAGTACTACCTGAAGCATTTCCCGGAGATCAGCGAGGAGAAATTGGCGCAGGCGATGGTGATCAGCAAGCCGTCGAACGGATCGTTCTTGTATGTTCCCTCTCTCTGATTGTCATGGTTACATATGCTAATTTTGTTCTAGGGTGACGGGCGCGGCTATTGCGGAGGTTCAGGTTTAGGGGGTTATGTTTTGCAGCGTGCAGCGTGGTCCTATCTAGCGATGATGTAATATAGCTCATTCTGAGTATGAGTAATTGATGATTACAGTTGGAATGACTCTTAATCCACTTGACCTCCATCAGCCTGTGCTATAGCAATTTGATGTCTTATTAGCAAGAATAGCCATTTCAGATAAGCTTGCCATGATGTCATCCCAGCTCTGCATAACTAGCTATCAGCAACCCACAAAACAAACAACCCAAACACCAACCGACCAACCCCAATCCAAGCAAACAAACAATACAAACAAGCTACCCCAAGATTAGCGTATCAGCCAACCGATCATCCCTCCCCTTTACTGTACTCCGCTCCGTAGTTCCTCTTCGCTCTCATCTTCATACCCCGAACCAAAAAAAAAAAATAAACAAGAACAACAAAAATGTCATGAACCAACCACTATGCCCACCCCTTCTTCATCACCATCATTCTCCCTCTCCAAACTGGCCACCCCGGCCGTCGCCACCCTCATAAGCTTTCTGGCGTATGGCTCGCAGTACCTCCTGAACCACTTCGAGCCCGCCCCGCTGCGCCGCGCGGAATGCTGGCGGCTGAACCTGCTGGCGGGATGTATCTGGATCTGCTACTATCGCACCTGCACTGTAGACCCGGGTCGGGTGCCGAGGGATTGGAAGCCCGCGGCGGCTGCTGCTGCCCCAGAGGATCGTAAGCAGCAGCAGCAGCAGCAGCCGCGCAAATCCCAGCCCAATGGAGCTGTCGGCAATGGCGGCGGCCGATGGTGCCGCAAATGCGAAGCGTATAAGCCGCCGCGGGCGCATCATTGTCGGACATGTCAGAGGTTGGAGCCCCCCGCCCCTTTCTTCCCATATGCCCCTGAAGAATATGGCAACCAGGTTGGATGATGGTGATGATGATGATGATGATGATGATATTTTCTAAGATTCCCTATGTATTGATGGCCGCTCGCTAACCGGAGTATTATATCTTGGGGACAAACTGCAGATGCATCCCCAAAATGGACCACCACTGCCCGTGGACCGCCAATTGCGTGTCGCACTTCACGCTGCCGCACTTCCTGCGGTTCTTATTCTACGCGGTGGTCGGGATGGGGTATCTGGAGGCCGTGCTGGTGGAGCGCGCGGGGCTGGTGTGGCGTGAGAGGGCGAGGCCTAGTGTTCGTTACCCTCTCGGTTTCCAGCTGCTAGCATAGCTGAAAAAGAATCCCCCAAAGGGCAAGGTCTTGGACTAACTCTGCAATCCTGGGTGTTGTGGAACACAGTATCTAGGCCCCACCGCTCTCCAGCTCGCGCACCTCTTCGTGTTGCTGGTTGTTAATAGTTTGACGGTGTTCATGCTGTTCATTCTGCTGGTGCGCACGGTGTGGGCCCTCGCCCTGAACACCACCACCATTGAGGAGTGGGAGATTGAACGCCACCAGACGCTGCTGCGGCGCGCGAGGCATTTCGGCGGGTATTTGCAGGGGCCCGGGGGCGTTCGGGTGCGGATCAAGCGCCAGGAGTTTCCGTATGATGTTGGGGTGTGGGGAAATTTGAGGCAGGGGATGGGGTCGGGGAATGTATGTTCTTTTCCTTTTTTTTGGAGTGTGGAGATTTGGGGAGAGGATGCTTGAGGTGGTGGTTTGATGCTAATTATATGGTTGATGGTACAGATCCTAAACTGGTTCTGGCCATTCGCGAGAACCCTCGATCGGAGATCGGGGTTGGAGTTCGAGGTTAATGGGTTTGAAGGTTCGTACACCATCCGTCTCCTTTGTCTAGAGATGGCCAAAAGCACAGCACTCGATTCTAAACGATGGCTCTAACAAACCCCAGATCCAAACACCACCTGGCCCCCGCCCGACCCAGACCGCATCCCCTGGACTGCTCCCGCAGCAGCAGGTGCAGCGCCAGAAAACGGCCTTCTGGCCGCCTCGTCATCGGGAACAGGGACACCCCAGAAGATCCTCCGCCGCAAGCGCTTCCACCAACGTTTCGACCGCACCCATTCTGTCCGAAAACAGGAGACACCCAGCGACTCCGACGCCAGCAACAGCGACAACAGCGGCAGCAGCGAGCCTGAGGACGCAGTCTCAGACGACGGGGAGGAAGGCTGGCGCAATGCCGACGGGGACCGGCTCAGGGACTTTGGGGTCGAGGAGGAGGTCGAGTTCTACGATGAGGAAGATATCCCGTTGGCGGTTCTGATGGTGCAGAGGGGGTATTCTTGATGGGTTGGTTTGGATGTGTGTGAGGGGGAAGGGATGCACTTGACCAATGTGTTGTGCTGAGGATGGTAGTCGATATCATATAGCTTATGGTATGAGGCATACAATCCAGTAGCAATAGAGCTTGAGGTCTCCCGGGGAATCCGGGGGTCTGGTATTGTGCTGGTCGGTAGCGGCGAGTAGGAGAGTCTACTAGTCCGAGGAGTTTACAGACTTGGTGGCTCGGTAAATCCGAGGTTTGATCAAGGTCAATCAACCGACGGCCCGGAAAAGGAACCCTCCTCAGCAATAACTCGGATGATGTGTTCGGACGGTAGGTCGCGATAAGTCGAGGCTACATCTCGGACATTGACGGCCGAGCAGACTGTGTACGGTTGTTTACTATACAAATCATCTTTCACACAGTGGGTACGGCATGTTTCAAAGCATCGAGACTATGATCACTATCACAATAATCACACTTTCAGTCTAGGACATCAACAATTATCTGTGTTTCTAACTCGCTACTAAGTCATGTCTCACATACCACGTACGCAGCTGCAAGGACCAGGTGTTGCCTGTAGCGCATACCCTAGAGGGCTATATGGCTATCTTCAGTATCTTCTGCCTCCACCGTCCCGAGGTTATACTTACACTCCAACGACCACAAACCCTCATCATATATCTCCACATGAAAAAGACAACCATCGTCTAGAAATGCATCTTCTTCCTCCCAGCCAAAGCGGAATGAACCCCCTTCCCCCATCAAAACACAAAACATACCAGCCTGTCTCAAGGAACCTCCGCAATGCTACGCCTTGAACCCGCCTACGCAAGGGATACCCTTCCAGCCAAAACCCCTAACAACAAACCAACCCAATAGTACGAATGTACTTGGAGATGCACGAGCGCGCGTACCTACATCCAACACGCGCATCTTGACTCAAAACGCGCACGCATCCCGCATCCCCCCAGCGACATGCACCCTTCCCCCTCGTTCCCTCCCTTCCTCCCTTCTTGATCCACAACCATCTCCACGCTCCACCTAGAAATTCCTCAAATACCATACCCAGCGCCACAGCATCCACCCCCAACCTTCCAACAAAACCCATCCTGACCCAGCGCGCACGAAAAATCACGCCATCCATCCATCTGCCTTCCAATAATCCCATCCTGACACACAACAACCCACCAAAATCCAAAATGCACCTCCAAACCCTCCTCCTCGCCCTAGCCGCCACCCTCGCCGCCGCCGACCTGATCGAATACTGCCCCTTCGCGCAGGACAAGACGGGCATGCTGCAGCACCCCTACTGCTGCGACAGCTACACGCCCTCGGCGGTGACCAACCTGGCGGTGGAGGGGAATAACTGTATGCTTCCTATTGTTTTGCAGAATTGCTATGTATCTTTGAGTGAGAGGACGAGCTAGGCTAATCTGATGGCGATCGTACAGGCCAACAACTCACCGAGCCGGTGGCCAAGTGTCCTAATGGCTTGGGGGTGAAGTGTTGTTATACTATTGTAAGTTCATCCTTCTCAATCTGTCGGAGGAGAGAGAGGTAATATTACGGAAAGACATGATGCTGATTCGAGGGTTCGCGGGGCAATTAGAACCAGAAGTTTATCTGTACGGCGGATGGAGTGTTGGAGGATGATTAGATGGGGTTTTCATTTGGTGGATGTATGGTGGGGGGGTTGTGGTGAATAGGGTCGGGGTTGAATTGGGGGATCATTTGAAGGGGGGCGTTGGGTAATGTGGTATAAAAGTTCGCTGGAGGAGGCTGCTTGGATGGATTGATGGTTCGGTTCGAATGAGGTATGAAGAAGAGAACCCTGGGCAGGCTGTTGTCTGTGAGGGTTGGAGACTCCCTTGACCGGCCGATTGGAATACAACTCGGGTGAAATAATTGACTTTCATATTGCTGGAATTCAGTAGCCCTTCAAATATAAAAAAGATTTATTGAAGTTCTCCAACGTTTGAACTCTTTGTATCTAACAAAAGTCATCTAGGTATGCTTCATATATGTTTGGACTCCAATTCTTTCGAGGTGGTTGGTGGGTTGTAATTCGATAGGCAGGAGGGGAACTGCATCTGAGTGTTGCGGGATAGCTCCGAGGTCGTGTTTGGTAGGAAACATCATGCCGTGCTGTAAGCATCACTTGGAATAACCCCAACAAATCACTTCTTCGCTACATCGTTAGCTGCCATGTCTAATGATTAATCACATAGGGCTACGGAGTAGTGTACCTGACAGTAACGTAAGAGTGACTGCGTTGGAGAATCATTGAGATGGGTGTAACAGTACGTCATCGGGATGTCATCCCCGCCCAACCCTCGAAATCAACAATACTTATACCGCACACTATGGACACCTCCAATGCTCTACCAAACTATCCTTCCAAAATCTCCAGCCTATAACCGATATCACCACAGCACTACGATCCAAAATGCCCACCAAAAAGGTCCTCATCGTCCTCAGCGACGCCAACTCCTTCCCGCTGAAGAAGACCTCCGGCGCCGACGCCGGCCAGACGGTCGACCAGCCCTCGGGCTTCTTCCTGATGGAGCTGGCCAAGCCCCTCCAGAAGCTCCTCGACGCCGGCCACGAGGTCACCTTCGCCTCGCCCCGGGGCCAGGAGCCCGTCCCGGACCCCAACAGCGAGTCGCTGCTGGCCTTCGCGGGCAACTTCTACGAGCGCCGGCGCGAGAACGCGCTCATCGAGCGCATGAAGCGCGAGAACGGGTTCGGCCGGCCGCGCCCCCTCGCCAGCATCAGCGACGAGGAGCTGGCCTCCTTCGCCGGCGTGTTCATCCCCGGCGGCCACGCGCCGCTGGCGGACCTCGGCGACAACCCGGACCTCGGCCGCATCCTGCGCTACTTCCACCGCGAGAACAAGCCGACGGCGGTGATCTGCCACGGGCCGTATGCGCTGCTGAGCACCAAGTTCGCCGGGGACGGCGACTTCGTCTACAAGGGGTACCGTGTCGCCTCGTGGAGTGATGTGGAGGAGAAGGCGATGGAGACGTTGCTCGGGGGGGAGGTCGAGAAGGTCGAGTCGCGCTTGAGGGAGGAAGGCGCCGTCATGGAGACGGGCTTGTCGGAGAAGGTCGGCTACACTACCCTCCATCGCGAGTTGGTGTCCGGCGGTAATCCCATGGCGGCGGATGAGTTGGGCGAGCGGTTCTTGAAGATGATCAGTGTTTGAGGGCTGGTTGGTGTTGACTGTTGTACATATTAATGATTAGTGTAATGATGATATGATGATACATGGATCTGCTGCGTGTGAAAAGGATTAATATGAGAGCCGGTAAGACAACATGTAAGAAGCGTGTTTCATGAGTCTAGTAAGGCTTGAATCTATCTTTGTTCTTGGATCGTTTCTCCTTCTGTCGCGTTCCCTTGGCCGAGCCGTCCGCTTGCGTTGTCGAATCCCCATCCTCCGGCTTCCAGACACGGACAAACCCGTCCTCACCGCAGGTCAAAACAGATTGAGACTAGACACGGCGTTAGCTGACGTAAGGGAATTTCGTGGAGAGATATCATCTACCTGCTCATCCACATAGACTGATCGAATAACCTCTTCACCGTGAGCGCCTGGAAGACGCCACGAGTTGTTCTGATCGAATTGCCACGATGGGGAGGACACAAGTGGGACCAGGTCCAACCGTTGCTCGCTGTTCAAGTCAGCTCAAAATCATTGCACGGGTCGGAAAGGGTGGGTATGCATACAGCTTGTTGCCTGCGGCGATGTACTGGCCCTGACTGTTCTGGCACAGTTGCACAATGTATTCGCAGTTGAGCGGTTTTCGCAAGTCATTGAACTGTATGGGCTCAGCGCCCTCCGAGGTCTGGTCATCCGGATTGGTCGTGGGATGGATCGCGAAATCCTCATCATGACTGAGGGCATAGACGGTCTTCTCGTCCAGGAACCCGGCATGATGCACGGAGCCGTGGTTGATGACCTGCACCAACGCCTCATCCTCATCGGTGATGGTAGTATCGTAGATGTTGACCAGCCCGTCCGTACTGCCGGAGAGTGCGATATGGCTGCGGGTGGGGTGATATTGGAGCTGTCATGCATTTTAGCAGGGGAAAACGAAGGATTGAATTTGACATCCAACGCGGCAGGCTACTAACCTCGGTCACATCGTCGTTGTGACTTTCCACATATTCCAACCGGGGTTGATTTGCTGATCGGATGTCCCTGTTGCTGTTAGTGTGCTGCGAACCTTGTCTAACGATGCCATCTGCAGATGTCTTCCCCAACACAAAGTCAGATGCTTGGCGCACTTACCAAAAGGCGACCACGGCTTGCTGTCCGTAATTCGACGCAACAAGCTCGGTTCCTGCAGCAATATCATGGGTTTGCGGAGAGCACGCAATGGAAAGTACGGGAGCCTGGATTGCTATCGCGACAACGAGAAGGGTAAGCCAACACTTGCAATACATAACAGACAATACTTGGCTCCCCCGCATTACTCCTTACACATAGTGAGCCAGGCAACTCGTGACTTCTCACGGCTACCCAAGGGAGTTTCTCCCGCCCCATCTGACACCTAGCTAACAGGGGCAAAAGAAAAGAAAAGAAAAACGATCACCGTAGATACGTAGGAGAAAAAACAACTTACAGGGTTGCATTTCTACGGCGGGCTTCTTCCCGCTGCGCAAGTCCCAGACCTTGACCCTGCCATCTCGTCCCGCGGTGGCCAGAAGCTGCTGGCCCGCATCGTAGGTTCTTAGCGAGGTCACCACCTCGTGGGCACTCGGGGTGACTATGGATGAATGGCCGAGGCCATCCGCACTGAAAACCCGCAGCGAGTCGTCCGATGAGATTACGGCGAATGACCCGGGACCTGCTGCGGCAATGGAGTAAATGTAGTGGCCCTCGGCCAGGGACAGTGACGATGACGCCGCCGCTTGGAGCGTGTGCATGGTTAGACAGACAATTTAAGCAATCCTTCTTCTATACTTCGTTGAGTAGATCTTTTGCGATGGATCTGAAATCTTCCGGTCCATCATGGAAGGCGGTATAACAGTGGTCCGTGTTTGCACTGTTTGTGTGGGTGTGCTACTTGCAGCTTCATCGGGGTTGACTCCTTTCTTCGAAACAGTGAATAATAGCTTTGCAGGAAACGGCGCTGGACCAGATCTGCTTCCAGTGTTTCTGAAGCCTTTTGAGTAAGTTTGTATTCAGATGAATCTGTTCTAACAGCGCCCACTGCATCGCAGCAGTCAAGATAGTCATGTGACTGCATCATAGCCATTACATATCACGTGATAACCGACACTGTGAATGTCAGGTTATTCTTATATTAGTGGATAGATTCTCTGTAATTAGTCCAACAGTTTACAGCAGCAGCAGCAGCCAACAGCTTCTATGCAGCTTGTGCTTAGTAGCAGGGATAAACAATCTCACGCCGAGCTGTGTGATCCGCTGGGGATGTTGAAGCGGGGAAGCCTGGCTGCCTGGTTAACCAGGCCAAAAGACTAATTCCTACCGAACCCGACCTGTGAATGCCGCTTCGCAATTGTTCACATTGACGCTAAGGTTGCTACATACTACAGACTGCAGTGCTGGTGACATGGTTATTCTTGTCACACCTTTGGCAGTTGATCTCTAAGCGCCCAGGCCCAATAGCGCCCGCATTTCTCCTCTTTCTAGCCTCCGATCCGGGCGCTACCAACATCGCCCCTCCACGAATGACATCCCAGAACGCCATCTTTAACCCGGCCAACGTGATGCCTCTTGCAGGCCCGTGTCTTGGACCGAATGATAAACCAATCCCAAGCTCCCAGTCACTGTGTCTCTCCGCCTCTCGGGTGCAACGCATGGCCTCTGGCTCGCCAGACTGGACAGTCTTCCACCTGAACAGTGACCCTGGATGGTCGTCGCTGCGGGCGTTATCACATCGTGCTCTGCGATTTGACTCGTCAGACTGGACCTGCAGTCCCCGCCATCCTCACCATGCAAGCGCCATCGCAGGAACTGCCCATGCCCTCAGTCTGGCACTCAAAAACTCCCGCCAACCCTCCTGATTCACGGTGGCTTGTGTTTCAATGATTCTCATTCCTGCTCCCGAACTGAACTGCTTCCTTCAGTCGCTGGGACTGAAACCTTCGGAAAAGCTGCTGGCAAGCTTTGACTGGAGCGTATAGATCTCTTGGTCTGCAGTTGTTTGCCGCTTCGCTCACTTCTCCTCCTTTCTGAGCTTGGCGCCCCTTCGCGGCTCGCACTCCCAACTGAGACAACATGAATGCCTTCCAGATGTCGATATCGCGGTGTATCGCAGCGATCACGCTGCTCTCGCTCAGTCTGGTGAACGCCCACAGTATCATCACCTATCCCGGCTATCGTGGCAACAACCTGCACACCAACGGCACGGTGCAGCAGACAAACGGATTGGGTGTTGGATGGGAGAACGGCTCATACGTCTATCCCTATGGGATGCAATGGATCTACCCGTGTATGCTTGACAACCTGCTCTTTTTATCTTTGCCAAGCATCCTCATCGCTAATACAACTGTTCAGGTGGTGGGATGCCTACGTCGACGAACCGTACCAAATGGCCCGTCAACGGAGGCGCGATCGCTCTTCAGCCCGGCTGGTTCCAGGGTCACTCGACGGCCTTCATGTATATCAACATGGGCCTGGGGACGGTCCCTGACAACATGAGTCTTCCGATGGTTCCCGTCTTCGAGATCACGGGCCCCAGCAACAACCCGTACCCGGGCACGATCTGTCTGCCGCAGGTGCCCTTGCCAGCCGATATCAGCCCCAAGGTGGGCGACAACGCCACCATCCAGATTGTCGAGGTGGCCAAACACGGCGCATCTCTGTACGATGTGAGTATCATCATCGCTGATGGATATTTCGAAGCACCCGCTTATCGTGTCTGATCCTAGTGCGTGGATATCACCTTTGCCGAAGACGACGAGGTCGCCGAGGTGACCAAGGACAACTGCTTCAACTCGTCGGACATCGGCTTCAAATATGTCTTCGCCTCAAGCTCATTAACGGCGACTAGCGTCGCCCCACTGCATGGCCCTAGCCAGGCGCCAATCGTCTCGGTGCTGCTGGCGATGGCCCTGGGAGCATGGATCTTATAACGAGTCGAACCTTCTTAGCATTTGTTCTTTTTAGTGTTCACCTATTCTTGTCATACCCTCAGCCGCGACTGGCTTTTTGGTTTAGTTCTGAACGTTGGTTGCATGAATGCATAATCCGCCTGCTATTTAGGCGTTGACGACTATACGATGACCTCGGGTACGTCTCGGGTACATCCCTGTCATTTGTACGACTTAATACCATTGATGATTGTCAGTGAACAATGTCGCGTATCGCTAGTGAGTCCGATGCTCGGACTATCGGCGTACACCATGGAAAGACGTAGCCAAGCTAAGTCAGCTCGAGACCGCGGCGATGTCGCGGAGATGCTTTCCGCGGTTGACCGGACTAGGAACCGAGGCTGTTCTCAAGCGTAACGCTTACGGGATCATGATCATAGTGCAAAACAAGCAACACGCTGAATCTGTGTGCATGCGTTCTCGTAGAATGGCAACATCTCCAAGGTAAGCCCTCCTTATCGCCTCAGACATGTTACAGTTAGTTAGTATCCCGATAAGACGGATAATGACCCCGGTCTCCAATACCCCGAGAATCAACCGCCTTTGCAACCAGCGGGGGGCACGTGCCTGGCCATTTTTTTCTCTCTGTCGAGCTCGCTTAACCGGGCCGGTTCAGCCACTTGAACTCCGGTGGGGCAGTTGAACCAACCGGCCCGTCCACCGGCGGACTTCTTATCGACTCTAATCAGCTTATCGCCTGCCGATCCATACAGATCTTTGGGGATTGGAGTTCGCCTCCGACCCATGCATCAACGCATCAAGCACTTTTCGAGACGTCAATGTTGAATCAATGCACCAGGGGAGGAAGAGGGGGAGAGGTTCATCAAAGATTGAGAATGGTTTCATTGGACCTGATCCAATTCACGGTTCTTGGATTTGCCACCGATTCATGACACAAGTTTTACCAAGTTGAGCAATCTGCTCCTTTAAAAGATGCGGGTTGACATCACGAGGCGATCACGAGGCGATCACGAGGGGGCAATTGTAGATGTACATCCACATACTTAGAACTTAATAAGAATAGTCATGTGTCCAGCTGCCGCCCCCTAGACTGCTTATGAATAATAAGAAATGGGTACAACCGGCATTGGGTTTGGAGCTGCAGCTGCTACAGCTGCTGCCACTTCATAGATCTCGGTCGATATAGTAATAATGTAAGAAGAAGCAGTAATGCGGCGACCGGCAAGGAGGAACCGCCCGGTTTCCACCGGCTACTGGAGCGGATTTCCCCTTCCCCCCTTCCCTTTATCAGTTCCCAGAGAACTATCTATACAGGACTGTAGGACGACAAAGAATTAAATTTCTTCTTCTTTCTCAAGTACAACTTCTGGTCTTCTCATCTCTAGACTATTTTACACACTACACACTAGAAACTGTCCCTCTTTCTCTCTCATACATCCTCATTCATCCTCTTACTAGACCATACATTACTCTACCACCCTCTCCACCTTATCGATAAACAACACAAACACAATGAAGGCCGCTCGCCGCCCGATGCGGGCGCTCGCCAGCGCCCCCGGCCGCCGCTATGTCAGCCGGACCAGCAACGCAAAGTCCGTCGCCGCCTCGCCCGTCTCCTCCACCACCACCCTGCAACACCAGGTTTCCGCGTCTCTCCAAAGCACCTCCTCCTCCACTCCGTTGGCCAAACTGCCGCTGTCAACCGTCCTCCGCTCGCTCGTCATCCTCTCCGTCTCCTCCTCGTCGCTGCTCCTGAAACCATGCATCTTCGCCCTGTCGACGCTGGCCCACCCCAAGTCCGCCCTGCTGGACGTGGCTCGCAACCCGCTCCTTAACGCCGTCGTCAAGCACACCATCTACAAGCAGTTCAACGCCGGAGAGAACAAGGTCGAAGTGCAGCGCTCCATCCGCGACATCAAGTCGCTGGGCTACCGGGGCGTGTTGTTGGGCTACGCGCGCGAGGTCCTGGTCGGCGAGGGACAGGTCGACCCGTTCGATGAGCAGCTCGCCCGCGAGGAGATCCAGACCTGGCTGGACGGCACCCTGAAGACGGTAGATATGGCCCAGGAGGGTGATTTCGTGGCTCTCAAGTATGCTCCCCTTTCCGTCTCGCCCCAAATGTTGAAAACAACCTAAAACCTTGTGAACCTAAGCTAACCAATCTCCCCCCCCCCAAAAAGATGGACCGGAATGGGCCACCAAGTCCTCCACTACCTGCAAAACAAGTCCGACCCCTCGGAGCAAATGGACAAAGCCATCAAGCAAGTCTGCGACCTGGCGATTGCGCGCAACGCGCGCCTGCTCGTCGACGCCGAGGAGCAGGCCGTGCAGCACGGGATCGAGAACTGGGCGCTCCGGTACCAGAAGTACTGCAACGCGCGCACCCCGGGCAAGGCCATCTTCTTCAACACCTACCAGGCCTACCTAAAGTCGACGCCCGCTACGATCGCTCGCCACCTGGAGTTTGCCCGCGAGAACGGTTTCACCGCCGGCGTCAAGCTGGTGCGCGGCGCGTACCTGAAGACGGAGCCGCGGCAGCTGATCTGGGACGTCAAGGAGGACACGGACGCGTGCTACGACGGGGTCGTCGAGGCGCTGCTGACCCGCCGCTACAACGCGATGCTCCGCCCGGCCTCCGACAAGCACACCGAGCAGCTGCCCCCGCTGAACGTAATCATCGCCACCCACAACCGCGATTCCGTCCGCAAGGCCCACGCCATCCGCATGAATCAGGCCGCCACCGGCGAGTCCCAGGGCGTGGATCTGAGCTACGCCCAGCTGCAGGGTATGGCCGATGAGGTCAGCTGCGAGCTCCTCCAGGGCTTCCCTGGTGGGGAGGGCGCCGCTGCCATCGAGTCCCCCAACGTCTACAAGCTGTTGACCTGGGGTACCGTCAAGGAGTGCATGGGATTCCTGATGCGTCGCGCGGTCGAGAACACCGAGGCCGTCGGCCGCACCAAGCAGTCCCAGGAGGCGATGATGGGGGAGTTGAGACGTCGGGCGCGTCGGGCTTTCGGTCTGCGCAACTGATGCTCTACGATTATGACTGTGCTTGCTTTTTCTGCGGATTATATCCTTTTCTCTCTTGCGTGTTGAGAATATTGGCGTCCTTTTCTGCTGTCTGGTTTCGGTCTGAGTCCCTGAGCGTCTCATTGCATTTTAGATGGCGTTAGCATCAAACTTTCTTATCTTTCTTTGGTGACTTGAATGAGATCAAGATTTGATATTACTCCTTTGGTCTTCTGGGCTGTTCCTCGTAGTCGTATCGTTTGTTCTTTGGCTGCGAACATTGTATACCACTAGAAACACCCACTTATCAGTGTTTGAGCTGCGGCCGATCCAGTCAACTGACACAAACATCGACACTACATTTACTCAAAGACCCTGCAGCGTGAAACCGCCAATCATTCTTTCCCCTATCAACAAAATGACAGGACAGAGAATGTCACAGCCAGCTTCATCAGCAAACGGACTAGATTCAGGATCCGACGACGCATCCCAGAGAGCGGGGAGTCTCCCACCCAGGTCAGTCAGTGGACGATCCGCCCAGCCCTTCTCACTATCTTAGGGTCTTGCTTCTTCCCCAACCTTGCTCGCCACAATAACACAACACGCTCCCGCCACGCCGGACATAGACTCTTTCCGTGCCTAAGGTCTAGGACCATTTCCTCCAAAGCCACTCGACCAGGAAGCATCCATCGCAAGAGACATCCTTGGATGTCTTTCGTTGGTCCGTCATCAACGGCGAAGGCTTTCCCTCCGGAAAGGACGGATGGACTAGAAGACGACGTGGATGGCGACGAGGAGACTCAGAACGCGATGATGATACGCGGCGGCTTCCAGTCCCACCATCAAAGGCAAGCATGAATGTGAAGGGTTGGACCAATGGCTCGACCCAGTCTCCTGAGCTTTGTGTGCCAGACCACCGATTCTCGTATCCTATCCTTCCCTCTTCCCGCATGGCGACTTCCAGAACCGAACCGGACAATATCCCCAATGTAAGGGTTGTCGGTTAAACGGCACCTTAAACACGAATAGCACGAGCACGGACCGCTCAATGCCGGACGGGGATTCAGCAGATCGGGAGGAGGTCCCAAACAGCCTGACTCTGGTCCCGCCGCAGGCTGACCGGGCCAGGGTCGTGCAGATTCTGTAGACCCAGACCCATTGCAGTTCGGGATGCTACCTACTCTCGACCGACGCGGGCTTGCTCGTTGAGCTTTGTACTGTATAGACAGGAGGACCCGGACCCCATGCGGCTGGTCATACCTAGATATGAATACATCTGTCTCGGCCTTATTTGGGGCATCAGCGGATCCGCATCCGGACGTAGACGTCAGTTTCGCCGCTTTTTGAGGACACCTCAAGTAGGCATTGATATGGCCAGGGCAGATTTAGGATGGCTTGATGGATCCTCGTCGGTAGTGCGTCGCTCGCTAAGTTGTATGAAGACAGGGACGGGGATAGGAACTAAGGCTGCTATGATGAACAAGAACCCCTGGGTTGGATTGCTCTTACATCTACATTAATGGTTGGGCTGGACGAACCCGGATCGAATCATGGAAACAAACTCCCTTTGTTCAGAAGCTCAAGGGGAGATGGGTTTCAGCTATACAGTCTCAAGGTATCAATGAAGATGCCTTTTGGGGATTATTGTTCTGTGTATGTATACTGAAGATGACAGTTAACCGCTGAGGTTTGAGGTGGACCTAAAAGCAAACGGAAAAAAAAAAATCAAAATAGAAAATATGGAAAATGAAATAAAATAAAAAAAAACAAAGTTTGCTCTAGCATTCATTCTCCGATAAGACCATGCACTTCGATTGATTCTTCTTTTTATCCTTTGCATCTCGGGCTGAATGGGTTCTTCTATTTTGGATTCTTTACTTCAATTCTTTCTTTGGAAGTGCTTCGATGACTGTCGCAACTGGAGTTGATTGTCGGATTCTTGCATATATTAGGGTGAGTGTATAAAATTCAACGCGGAGAGGCCGCGCAGTCCACGTCGACTATTCTAGTCCTTGACCCAAGATTCAGACCAGAAGCCGATGGCCCACGACCCCACCCCTCAAAGCTGCACCTTCAGCGACGACCGCAGACTGAACCCATCCCCATGCGTCTTCTTGCCCGACTGCCCCTCCCCCTCCCCCAGCACCGTGACCTTCTCGACCCGCAACTCGGACCCGGCATTCGCCACCGCGACCCGCAGCTCGCGGCCCTTCCGGCTGTAATGGAAGGTCACCTCCGTCGCGGTGGCCTGCTCGACCGAGTCCCCGTCATCGAGATACAGACTGCCGGACGCGGTGCCGTCCAACCCAGGGGCGATGAGCAACTCGAAGCCCTTGGTCCGGACCTC